TACTGGGCAATTTTTTGTTTCTTTAGTCTTGATTTCAAATTTTTGTTCACAGTTGGCCTTGATTGCAGTTATAAAAGTACTCGCTTAGTAGATAACCAGGTAAAAATCGTGATTACATCATATTTGAAGGGAGTGACAATTTCTCGAAGATTTACATTTAAAGTAAAATGATTGATTACTTGCGCGTCATGATTGGCACTGAAGTACACCGACCATGCCATTTGAATATCTCAATTTTTTGGGATTGTTTTCGTCATGCACATGGCGGTGACTAATATTTCCATATAAAACGTCCAAAATTTTCTCCTTATCAGAGTGAATTTGCTCTGAATTTTATGATTTGGACGTTTTATTAAATCAAACCCGATAGTTTATTCGCAAAATTTGCTATGGACAAGTGCTGTTTCATATGTACGAAGTTGAATTCATTCGTATTTGTTGGTTTTTGAATCCAATAATTCATCAATTCGACTCATCCTATCAGACGATTAGACAATGTTTGATATTGTTTCATCCAACGAATCAATAAAAATGAATTGCAAATACCAAGAACGGTTATGTCTTAACTTTGTATATGACTGAATTTGAATAATGAAATTGGTCGATGACAAGGTCACTTTTTCGCGATTTCTTTGCTGGCTTTGTTGTTCACGTCACCGCTTTGCCCACGGTGAAAGCATAATGCGTTCTCACATGTATGACTTGATTAATTAGCATTTTGACGGCGAATGAGCTTTTTGCCATATCTACTTTTAGCATTTCATTATTCTATTCGGTTCAATGATGTCACCCCCACATGTGTGGGCTTGAAAATCAGTTATGCCAGAATAAAGGATCAACGCTGATAGCACATGTTACGTACTTTTACGCGTAATTAATCTAATAGTTATATGAACGCGGAGTGACCGCACCTTTTAACCAACTGCTGTTTGTTCAAAGTTCATGTGCAAGCGTGTACAGTGTGTACACATCCATCACCTCAATGATATCGTTTGGGAATAATAAAAAAAATCATGACACACTACCAGCCGTTGAAGTAATGATATTTCCTGTATTTTTAGGTGATTATGCGTTGTGAAAACTTCACCAGTAATAGCATGAACGCTAGTTTTTTTTAATTAAATAAAAATGCAAACTATGAAATACCATGTCAGTCATACGTTGCAGCTGGCAGGAGTACATTACACATTTCATGGACCGAGCGAATAGCAGTTTATTTGAATGAATTTTGGAAAAAAGATTGAAAATTACAATTTAACGGAAGGAAATTTTGGTTTAAAATTGAAAAATAAATAAACAAATCATGTCCAAGTGTTAAGCGATTTGCTGAAAAAATGTTTATGTGTAACGTTAAGATATTCCAAAAAAGTAAAGACTGACTAACGTGTAGAATTGGGAGAAAAGAGTTGTTGATTTTAAGAAAGATCATTAAAATTCATGGAAAAAAGAGTTTCAATGGAGAAAAAAATGGAGGGCGACAACGAAACACCATCAAATGCATCAAATGACAAAGTGCCATTCCCGACGAACGAAACCACCAAATCTCGTTTTGCGAATATGGCAAGTCGTGTAATGAAAATGAAACGACGTCACTCAAGATACGAGAGACCGATATATGCATGTATATATAATTTTTGAATTAACATTTTTCGACATTTTACTGAACAAATTTTCTTTCTCCACAGTCTGGGAACTATTTTCCGATTACAGTGATTTCAGTACAATCCATGGTGTACGTTATATGGGCGAAAAAAAGCGTCATTGGATAGAGAGATTGTTTTGGTTATTCGTAGTTATAATATCAATAGTTGTGTGTTCATTTCTTGTCTATAAAACTTGGTTAAAATGGCAAAATACACCTGTAATTGTAACATTTTCGGAGGAATCAACTCCTGTTTATGAAATACCGTTTCCATCTATAACCGTATGCTCAGATCTGAAAATAAGACAAACGAAACTAAATTATACCGATATTTGGCATAAATTATATTATGGATATGAAAATGTAAGCATTAATCTCGATCATTTACGAATGGTACATTCGTTGAGTCCCTTGTGTGACGAAGTTCCAAAGTATTTGGAGGATTATGTAAAAAAAATGGGAAAAGTTAACGAAACAAATGCCGATGTGCAATTTTTCTCATATGCTAAAAAAGCAGCACCGAGACTTACAGATTTATTGCATCGTTGCACATGGCATCGCCAAGAGGTCAAATGTTCAGATATTTTCCATGAAGTTCTAACCGATGAGGGCATTTGCTATAGTTTCAATTATCTAAATGCATCTGAAATATACAATGAACAAATGTTGGACGAAAGCTACCATGTTACGCGTCATAATAAAAAGTCAGTTTATTGGAATGGTGCAAGAATACCAAATATGACCGAGTCCGATATTTATCCCTATCGTGTGTTAAGCGGAAGCGAAGGACTCAGCATTGATTTACGACTGTATGAATGGGATATTGACTATGTTTGCAGCGGTCCGGTGCAAAGTTTTAAAATTTTATTACATTCAGCGGATGACGTGCCACAGATGAAGAAGTATTACTATCGAATACCACTCGATCATGACACAGTACTATCTGTGCGGCCAAACATTATGGTTTGTAAATTGTTTTTAATTTCAAATTCAGAATGAAAAATAAACAAATCGAATTTTCAGAATACAACCGAGAGTTTGCTAACAAATTACGAAACCGCGCAACGAAAATGTATTGTTGACGGCGAACGACGATTGGCATTTTTCAAAAAGTATACACAACGCAATTGTCAGGTAAGTCACATTTTCGTTTTCACCGACATTTTTCATGTGGCAAATAAAAATCACCTTTCAGCTAGATAATTTGACATTGAGGACATTTCGGAGATGTCATTGTGTTACATTTGCTATGCCACGGCTCCAAGCACAGCTCACAAATTCAAGTTGGCCGATTTGTCGAAAAAAAGATGAATTGAAGTGTGCACGAAATGTTGAATATTGGCTGATGCAACAAGTCTTAAATAAAACCGCCATTAGCTATGGTTGCCTACCCGCTTGTCGCTCAATATCGTATGATGCGGAAATATCAATGGCCAAACTCGATCGATACAATCATAAACGAGCCATGAATGGCACAAGTAAATTGGAACGAAAACGAAGATACACACGAGTTTTTATATCATTCAAAGATGAGCAATTTTTCTCATCACGCCGTGCTGAGGTTTATACGAAGATCGATTTTATTGCAAATTGCGGTATTTTCATTTCATTCAGTTGGATATTTCGGCGTTTTTAATTTATTTGATCGATTTCATTGCAGGTGGAATTCTGGGATTATTTATGGGAGTGTCCATTCTTAGTATTGTTGAAGTGTTCTATTTTTCAACGCTGAGACTTGGATGCAGCTTGCGCAAGCGACGACTGATAAAAAAACGACGTTTGCAACAAATAAAAATACTCAACGAACAAAACGGTGCAACAAGCGAACAAATCAACCATAGCGACTATGATAATTTACCAGAAATGACTTATTGAGCACACAAGCCACACTCACCTAATCTCATTTTACAATCGTTATTTATTCTTTCAACTGGATGGAACAAAGAGAACACACATATTTTCGTTCATGTATAAAATTTTAAAGGGTATTTTTCGCGAGTATACGTCAACTTGTTACATTTTTGAAACACTTTTAAATATTTAGTCAATAAAAATATTTGCACATTAGTTTTAAGAGGATTGTTCTCTTTATTTCGATGGGTAAATTATGTGTTTTTTCTTGTTGTTGCATGATATTGAGGAAGAATTCCATATCAATTCTTTGATTTAAATAAAGTCTCTTTCGCACGCTTTCGCAAATCAAAGAAACTCAATTATCAAACAAGTGATCCAATATGAACTAGGGGGGTGGACAGTGTCTACTAGGCACAATAGAGAATGAATGAATTCCAATGAATTGTCATAATACCTATCTACTTTCAAATACGACAACTACATACTTATTATACAAATATATTTTGAATTTTTCTGGTTTTTTCCTTTTATTTTTATTAAAATTGTTTTTGGATATATTAAACCAATTTAAATAATTCACTTAATAGCGTTGAAGATGTTTTTTTAATATTTGGAAGACGATACTCATATAGTGCGGTGAATATTTCGGTGAATATTTCGAGTAATATTCCAGCACTTTTTATGATCAATACCCCTAATCACCTGTACAAGATGTGTACTTTCCTGAACAACATTTTTTTCCGAAGTGTACTAACCATACGTTTTTTTAGAGCCTATTCGCAAAAATTTTCGGTGTACTCAAAATTTCGGCCTTGATGCTATTTTGAATATCTCAATAAACAATACTTCTCGCTAGGTTTAGAAAAATGCTTTTTCTTCTCATTTTTTTTCTAGTTCCTCATTGAAAGGAGAAGAAAAATTTATTGAAATCAAGTGAAAAAAATGGTCATTAATTTTCTGCACGATTGAATTTCAAATATGAATTTTCAAAACATATAAAATGCAAATGATACAAAAACATGAATCATGCATAAAAGAAATACGAAAAAACCCCGTATTATATATATATGCAAAGTGTTCAAAGTTATAATTCGAAGTAAATGAACCCTGTGTGAATCAGAAGTAACAAAATACGTCCATTCAGCGATATTTTTTTTGCCTTTCATTTTCTTAGTTCATATGAGAGAAGGAGAGAAACGTTAACAATGCATGTGGTACATATTCATCCATTATATCATCGAATGTTGTGTACTTTCCTTCGATTTGCTCAATTATTATGAAAAATGTTCTATCGCTTTGTTTTATTTTATATTCTCAAGCGTTTGTCAGTGTGTACATGGATGATATGGTTGTTGTCAATGTTGTCGTTGTTGCTATATATTTTTTTTATTCTTTCTGTGTTATCTCTTGCTCATGGAATGCTGTGACCTATCGAAACCACACCTCGTTTTCACTGCGCTTGTGGGCTAGGATCCTCCAAGTAAATACTACTTGCCCAATCATCTAACGTTTGCTTAAAGCATTCTTTTAACAATATTTTGACTTTTTGATACTCTGTTATCAATTCGCCTTTGCAACATGCACATCATGAAGTCACGCTGGTTGCCGAAACAAAAGTGCGAAAGAGAAAGATAGTGAGCAAATAAGAGCGAAAACAGTTAAAATGTACTTGAGTTCCCGATTTTTATACAGTTATCGAAGTTTGAGCTGGTGGCAGAGCATTGAGAAAGCGATTAAAGACATTTTCAACGCCTATCCCATCATATGGCGCGCACAGACATGCACAACTCATCAAGTACAAAAGAAACTTTAACTATGGGAAGAAAATGACGATGAAATAAAAAAAAAAAACAAGTATAGACCATAAAAACGCAATTCCACAATTCGAGAAAATTGCGATGCTGTTTGCTGCGCAGCGCATATTACACACGATAGCGTTATGAAAAACGGTCTCCACTTCACCAAATCGACTATGGTGTTCAGCTTTTTTTGCCGCTTTGTTTTATTTTATTTGTAATACTCACAAAATGGAGAAATACATAAAAACGCACAAATATCTCCCAGTTTGTCCACCGGAAGATGTGTACACCCGCGCGCACAAACTGCTTTACATAGTGAAGTACTGCACTGTATGCTCGGATTTAAGAAATAAAAATAAAAAGTCTTACACTGTAAGACGAACTTTTCCGCCGTGTACATCATGAGATAAATATACAACTCCCCTAATTTTAGGTCGGGGAATCCAAATTTGACCATAAAATTAACAAATTTTGTTATTCCCCATATAAACTTTTCAAAAATAAAATTTTTATGCACTATAAGACCATGATGGAGTGGACCAATTTGGTCCAAAGTCTAATGGTATCTTTTCCTCAATATTTCAAACCATCCTATAAAATCAGATTTTAAAAAACTATCACGAGAAAAGAGATAATGGGTGAACAAAAACGGTCACGTACAACGTACAACGTGGAACAGACCCACAACAACCTGGTCTCAAATCGTATTTTTTCATCCCCCACCCAGAAAAGGTCATCTCCTACCATTTTGAGAATTTTTATTTTTAGGCCCCATTACAAGACTTTTCTTTTCACACTACGTGTGGGAGGAAAAGTAAAAAAGAAAAAGAAAATATGAATCGCCGTTGGCCCCATCACAACTAAATGATAATAATTTCTAAACTTCGAAATTTTTATGGAATCGTGTGTAAAATGAGACTGGATGGACTTTATTTCATCTTGATTAAACATTTTAAAACGGAATTGCTTTTTTTGTATCTTATCTCTTTTATTTAAAGGTAAGTGACATTTTCTTTACGCTTCTTTTGGAAAACAAATTCCTACCACAATTTGAAATAAATTATTTAAACACTTTTTTGAGCGCAAGCATCATTTCTAACCAGTAAAGTGTCCAAAGTGTGGATAAAAGTTAAAAAAATAATGTACTACAAAGTTTTTCAGAATGACGAGAGAAATTTTCGAATTTTTCAAACAACTGCCTGAAATTGGATCCATCTAACCCCAAAATTAATTACATATTCAGATTTCTCGTAAAAAATTACCTGTAGGCTCCATACATTGTCAATCTCTCTTGACCTATGTTTCACTCCTTCTAACTTGAACCTTTAATTCGGGTCGAAAAGTGAAAAACCCCATTTCATAGTGACTTCACAATGGGATATTCACCCCTTATTACTCAACTGGGCATTTGGGTTTCTTCCCATGAAAGTTACTGAATGACCCAATTCGGAGGGCAAGGGTTTATTTTTATATCATATGACCCCCGCCCTCCGAATTGGGTCATTCAGGGCGGCCAAAACTATATACCAATGGAAACTACATTGATATGCGTAACTTTCGTAAAGTCACAATGAAATGAGGTGTTTTCACTTTTCGAATTAGACTTTGTGTAACGAACCGTACACAAAAGAATGCATACAATATAATATATATCATACATACCGATTGTTTCACTCGGGTTGTTTCTCCACAAAATCATTTGATACTTCTGCTGATCATCGGCGATACGAATTTGCTTGTACATTTTTTCTATGTCCGCAACTACCGCAATTTTGTACTTTCTCCAGCGCATCAGCAGGTTAAAAATCTTTGGCTGGGAAATTTTACCTACAGCCACTTGCTCATTAAAAGATTTGCCATTGCTGGTCTTTTGTGACGCATTAAAAACAGTTCGTAATTTTGTGGTTGAACTGTCTTTGAAAACCGCATGATGCGGCAAATAATGTGCATCGACCGGAACAGTCGTCACTCTTTTTAAATGTCCTTGCCTTATGGCATCATCTATTGCTTCACAATATTGTTTTTTCAAATTTGGGTTATTTTTGAAACGTTTTTCCATTTGGAACAACATCGCAAGAGCGGCCTTTCTCGAATTGCCAAGGTCTGGTTCACCCCTGTTCTTAAATGGAATTCGAACAATATATCCCGTTTCATCTCTTTCTGTAGTTTTCACGAAAAACTCCTCACAATATGTTTCTTCTGCGCTCAATTCCTCCACGTCTTCCTCGTCATCCAAATCTTCAGACGCGAAAAAATCGGACAATTTTTCATCAATGTTCACATTCGATATCAATGTTGTTAGCGTTGCTGGTGTGAAATCGATGAAATTTCATCTAAAAAGAGCGTTGGGTGACAGAGTACTCACATTTGAAGAAATGAGCACGCTATTGGGCCAAGTTGAAGCAGTGGTAAACGCAAGGCCAATATGCGAGATGAGCCAAGACCCAAATGACTTCTCAGCTCTAACACCATCGCATTTTCTAAACCTGGTTCCAATTGAATTGCCTCCAGATGCTGACTACGTCGACATGAAGTCGAGCTACCTGACAAGGTGGCAGTTGGTTCAAAAAGTACACCAGAATTTTTGGAATGGGTGGAAGCGTGATTACTTGAACCAACTGCAAGTCAGGCAAAAGTGGAATACGGAAAAGGCAGACGTCAAGTTAAATGATCTTGTCATGATCAGAGACGACAATCTGCCATCCACGAAATGGGCAACTGGAAGGGTGGTTGCCACACATCCCGGTGAAGATGGTCACACAAGAGTGGCATCGGTCAAAACAGCACATAATACGTTCAAGAGAAGTATTACCAGGTTGGCACCGTTACCGCTTATGACTACGTTATTACTCATTTTTTCAACGCTATCGAAAACCAATGCGGTGTCACATTTCGGAAACGATTCACCAGCTTTCAAGATAGAAAACTTTGAGCATCGACCGGGCATGTACTTCGAAACAATTTCAAAAACGTACGTGGCAAATACATATTGGAATATCATTGCACATTTCAACATGGATGATTTCACGAACGGGCTAACAAACATTGAAGCAAATGTTGCCAAAGTGCGACAAAAATGCGTGGAGATGAATGGAACTGAATCATGCGTCAATATATACAATATGCTCTACGACAATTATATTCGGATTGCGGAAAAGAATCGACTGTTCACAGTAAGGAACCGAAGACGACGAGCCGCGTTAGACTTGTTTGGAGATATATTGGGAGATATTACCGGTGTATTGAGTTCAAAATTCAAAAATCAATACGAGAGAGATTTGAGCAGCATCCACCAAAACGAGGAGCATCTTCTCATATTGGCTAAAAATCAAACTTCCGTAACTCAGAGTATGGTCAATTTGGTACAGAAGAACGAAGTAATGGTGGTCAAACAGGAACAACGTATAAATGAAATGCTGAACCAATTGATCACTATGCAAAACGGTGGAATGGCAGCTCAACAGTTACACATGATTTCACTCATACTGGTCGACGCAATGACCAAGTACGAAAATGAACAGACAGCAATTCTGGATGTCATCACAGAGGCTCAAAAAGGGCACGTGAACACACATTTGATAGCACCAAAAGCATTGGAGCAGCAGCTGGATATTATTTTGAAAAATATTGATGAAGATCTAATAGTTCCTGGAATCAATCGAAGAACGGA